CGACGACGCGGCCATGGCGGGCCTGCGCGCGCTGCTGGCGGCGGCCGACGGCGGCGGATTCGGCGGGCGCGTCAAGCTGGACGAGGTGGACAGCTCGCCCGACGCGGCGGTGCAGGCGGCGCTCGAGCGCGCGGCCCCGGCCAAGGGAGGGAAGAAGAGCTCGGGCGACATCGTCGTCGTGGGCCGCAGGCACGCGGCCCTGCCCGGCGAGAAGAGCGCGGCCAGGCTCGCGGCCGACCAGCAGGGCCACCAGGACGACCTCAGGGGCACGCTCGGCCTCGTGGCCTCGCAGCTGGTCGCCGGCGGCCTCACGGCCAGTCTACTCGTCATGAAGGCGGGCGCCAGGCGCGAGGGCGGCGGCGGCAGTGGCGGCGGCAGTGGCAAAAAGGTCGGTGACGCGGGCGACGACAGCAGCGACGAGGCCGGGGTTGGTGCGAGTCGGTGAGATCACTTGCATTTTGATGGGTGTCTGTTTCTTACTTCTTGATGTGGGCGGCTGGCTTCTTTTCTGGTTCTTGGGTATACCTCCTTTGGTCCATCTTCAGAAATCATGATGGTATTTTAGGCAAACTGGATGTTTATGGAGGCATCTCTCCTTTTTTTCGTGCGTATTTTTCGTGCTGATCAATATGACGGTTTTGCTTGGCTTTGGTTTGTCCAACGTGGTGGAGTAGTTTGCAAGTGAATGCTATAACGCAATTTAAGGAGCTGGGGTTTCAATGCGTAAATGAGCAGGAATAGATGCTAAACTGCTGATGATATGGAATATGGAATAGGAGAGGTGGAGGTTGGGTACAGCTAGACCAGCAGCAATCGGCCTTGGCACATGTGGGATGCGGGATACCGGATACATAATCCCCACAACATCTTTTGACTGTCACCCACAGACAACGTGGGAGAGTGGTTAATCCGTTGCCCTGCTATTCACCAGAATACCACAGGCAATGCCTTCGGGCGCGCGCGTTCGAATCGCGTCGTTGTCGAACTTTTTGCATGTTACCAGGTCGGTCATCGTCATATAATGATGTTTCTACTCATTTCTGATTGCATATCCGATTTCCATTTTTGGTGTGCGCATTTCTTTTCCCATTGTTTTGCTTGCAACCATCACTTGGTGGTCCTCAACATCACGCCTCCTCGTGTTTTCCAACACCATCCAACCCGCCTTCCAGCCCAGGATTTGCCGGAGATGGCCAAATCGTGGGGGCACCGTTGTGTTCAGCTCGGGAACTCCCGGTGCAGCAGCAGCGTTGCTGTTTCCACCCCGAGATGTCTCCGGACCAGGCAGTTCCGCCTCAATTGGTGCTTGTTTATATATGCGGCGGGCAGGAGTCAGCCCCCAAACATCTGAACACAGTCGCACCTGCGCGTCCCATGGTGGGCACTGCACTACCCGTGCTTTTAGCTTTGTGACACGAGTCGCCGTTTTATTACTGCTGAATTGAACACATCAAAAACTGAGCCCGGATTGGAAAATCGAGAGACGATCCCGTCTTTGTTCCACCGCAAATCCAGCAACGCAGCTTCTCCGCGGCCCAAAAGACGCCAGCGGGCCTGGTGGGACGCGGGAGGCGGGAGCGGCTGACTGCAAGGCCCTGATTGGCCCGCCGCGGGCCTTATCAACCCATGTCGATGGGGGATCCATTATCAGGAGCCGGCCCTTCCCTTCTGTTATCTCGCCATTTATCTGTCCATATATCCATGACATTACAATGGCCCGGAACCCGCCGTTTGCTCCCCTTATCGGCCCATGGCCTGGCGCTGCATGTACAAGGTAGGTGGCCGCCCACAGGGCAGATCTGGGTCGTGCCTTTCGGACCAACCTTGTACGGCACTGCCGGTGCCGTGTGCTCGGAAATCCTGACTTTTGCCTGCCCCATTCGCCGCGGAGAAAGTGTGGCAAAACGAACCGTGGTAGCATGTTTTCCCGTAGCACTCGCTCCGCCAGCGTGAGGGCAGTGCTCGGCCAAGGTATACCCCTTTGCTCTCTTTCCAGTATTTCCGGTCATTTAAAGGCCGCCCCACCCCGTCGTTGGACACTGGCGGGACGCTCACCGGAGATGCTTGGATCTGCCATTGTTCTATTTCGCCATGCCGGGATATCGGGAACGCCCGAGGCCAGTTCTGCCCATAGACCCTGACGTCTGCTAGACATGCGTCGTCCTCTGTCTGCGAGTGCATGACTATCAACCCACATCCTTCCGTTGCGTCTTTTATCTGCGCTGCCTTGGGGACCTCTTATTAGACGGCCCCTGTGCCTCAACCACCCCGTAGAATCCGAGCTGACTTCTAATTTTGTTCCTTCCTGTCCGAAATTTTGTGATACCCTTTTCGAGAACACCACTATTCCCACGTATCTGTCTAGACGACGCCACCAGCTTACAAACATCTCCATACGTTGCTTCTTTTGGGAGTGGCACCACTGCACCCTCTCTGGAAAACAACAAGTAGCCAGCAGCTGCACGCTGCTCCGGCGCCATGGCTGTCGGCACTAGTAACAGGAAAAAGGTCGTGGTGGTCGGCCTGGGGATGGTGGGCATCAGCTTCATCGAGAAGCTGCTCAAACTCGACGCGCGGTCTCGCGAGTACGACATTGTCGTCCTGGGCGAGGAGAAGTATCTCGCCTATAACCGCGTCGGCCTCACCAGCTTTTTTGAGCACCGAAAGGTGGACAGTCTATACCTGAATCCACAAGAATGGGTGAGTTACTTCTTCGGATCCGCTGCGACAACGGTTGTGGTCCAGACAAACCACTGACTGCTGGCTTGCAGTATGATGCCATCGAGGACAACGCCCTGGGCTACCACCTAAACACCACAGTCACCGAGATCCAACCGGACAGGAAACGAGTGCTGTGCTCCAACGGCGACGAGGTCCCGTACGACATCCTGGTCCTCGCCACGGGGTCCGACGCGGTGCTGCCCAAGCACACGCCGGGCCACGACGCCGACGGCGTCTTCGTCTACCGCACCATCGGCGACCTGGAGCGGCTGATCGAGTTCTCCGGGAGGCGCAAGGGTACCACCGGCGCCGTGGTCGGCGGCGGCCTGCTCGGGCTCGAGGCGGCCAAGGCCATGCTGGACCTGGGGTGCTACGACAAGGTGACCGTGATCGAGCGCAACAGCTGGGTGCTGAGCCGCCAGCTGGACGCCGACGCGGGCGCTATGGTGGTCGAGCAGGTGCGGGACCTGGGCGTCGACGTGCTCCTGAGCAGGCGCGTGGGCCGCGTCGAGGTCGATGCCGCCAGCGGCAGCGTGTCGGGCGTGCGCTTCGAGGACGGCGAGCGCATGGACTGCTCCGCCGTCTGCTTCGCCATCGGCGTGCGGCCCAGGGACGCGCTGGCCCGCGCGGCCGGGATCCGCTGCGCCGACCGCGGCGGCGGCGTCGTGGTCGGCGACGACCTCGCCACCAGCGCGCCCGACGTGTACGCCATCGGCGAGGTGGCGAGCTGGAACAACCAGACCTTTGGGCTCATCGCACCGGGCGTCGAGATGGCGGACGTGCTCGCCTTCAACCTGACGCAGGCGAAGCTGCACCAGCCGCGCCTTTATAAGCGGCCGGACCTCAGCACCAAGCTGAAGCTGCTCGGGGTCGAGGTGGCAAGGTAGGGGGCACTTTCTTTTTTTCTCTTCCTTTTTGAAGCTCCTTTTACAAGGCCCCTCCTGATCGCACAGGCACTAACACATGACTACTAGCTTTGGCGACTTCTTTGCCGATCGCGACGGGCCGCAGTACCTGCCACCAAAGGCCAAAGCAGCAGCTGCGCGCAAGGCAGCCGAGAGCGACGAGAGGCTCGCAAAGAAGGGCAGCGCGGCCGCGGTGAAGAGGTTAACCAACGGGCTGCCCCCGGCGCCCGTCAAGGCGCTCACTTATCGAGACCCCTTCACCAACGTTTACAAGAAGTACATATTCACCATGGACGGCAAGTACCTGCTCGGCGGCATGATGATCGGCGACACGCGCGACTACGTAAAACTAGTACCGCTCGTCAAGGGGCAGAAGGAGCTCGAGGTCCCGCCCAGCGAGCTCATGCTGGGGGCCAGGGGCGGCGAGGGCGACGAGGGGGACGACCTGGACGACGACACGCAGATCTGCTCGTGCCACAACGTGACCAAGGGCGACGTGGTGGCCAAGGTCAAGGAAGGCAGCTGCAAGAGCGTGGGCGACGTCAAGTCGTGCACCAAGGCCGGCACGGGCTGTGGTGGCTGCATGCCGCTGGTCACGAGCATCTTCAACAAGACCATGAAGGACATGGGCAACGAGGTCAAGAACCACCTGTGCCCGCACTTTGCCTACTCGCGCGCCGAGCTGTACCACATCGTCATGGCCAAGCGCCTCCGCGCCTTCTCCGACGTCATGCGCGAGGCCGGCGCCGACAGGGACAGCGTCGGCTGCGAGGTCTGCAAGCCGTGCGTCGGCTCCATCCTGGCGTCGCTGTGGAACAAGCACGTCATGTCGGGCGCCAGCCACGGCCTGCAGGACACCAACGACCGGTTCCTGGGCAACATCCAGCGCAACGGCACCTTCAGCGTGGTGCCGCGCGTGTCGGGCGGCGAGATCGCGCCCGAGAAGCTCATCGCCATGGGCGAGGTCGCGCGCGACTACGGGCTCTACACCAAGATCACGGGGGGGCAGCGCATCGACCTCTTCGGCGCGCGCAAGCAGGACCTGCTCGACATCTGGCGGCGCCTGGTGGACGCCGGCATGGAGAGCGGGCACGCCTACGCGAAGTCGCTGCGCACCGTCAAGTCGTGCGTCGGCACGACGTGGTGCCGCTTCGGCGTCGGCGACAGCGTCGGCCTCGCGGTCCGGCTCGAGGAGCGCTACAAGAGCATCCGCGCGCCGCACAAGATCAAGGGCGGCGTCAGCGGCTGCGTGCGCGAGTGCGCCGAGGCCCAGAGCAAGGACTTTGGCCTCATCGCCACCGACAAGGGCTTCAACGTCTACGTCGCCGGCAACGGCGGCGCCAAGCCGCGCCACGCCGAGCTGCTGGCCAAGGACGTGGCCCCCGCCGAGGTGGTGCCCATCCTGGACCGCTACCTCATGTTCTACATCCGCACCGCCGACAAGCTGCAGCGCACCGCCCGCTGGCTCGAGGCCCTGCCCGGCGGCATCGGCTACCTGCGCGACGTCGTGCTCAAGGACAAGCTCGGCATCAACGCCTCGCTCGAGGCCCAGATGCAGGAGCTCGTCGACAGCTTCTTCGACGAGTGGGCCGAGGCCATCAACGACCCGGCCGTCGCCGCCAAGTTCCGCCAGTTCGCAAACACCCAGGACGCCCTCGACGGCACCGAGGTTGAGCTCGAGCGGGACCAGTCCCGCCCGGTGCACTGGGCCAAGGAGCCGGCCAGGGAGGACTTTGCCGGCCTGCGGTCCCGCTGGTCCGAGACGTCGTGGCAGCCCGTCATGGAGGCCTCCCACTTTGCCGGCGCCGACGCCCTGCCCAACGGCGTCAGCGCCGCCGTCAAGCGCGGCGACACCCAGCTCGCCCTGTGGCGCGTCAAGGGCCGCTACTACATGACGCAGCAGATGTGCCCGCACAAGCGCGCCTTTATATTGTCCGACGGCCTGATCGGCCAGGACAGCCCGCCGGCGTCGTCGACGTGCGACGTAGAGCCCGCAGGGAACGGCTCCCTCGGCGTCACCAACCTGGGCAGCGCCAACGGCGTGAGCAACGGTAGCAGCAGCAGCAGCAGCAGCAGCAGCAACAGCGCCGCGTCGTCCATCGACGGTAGCGCCGCCGCCGCCAGCACCACCTCCACTACAGCCACCACACCGACAAGCACCACCACCACCACCACCACAACAACAACCAGCGCCGGCGGCAGCTGCGACAAGAACAACAACGCCCCCTGGGTGTCCTGCCCGCACCACAAGCGCAACTTCGACCTGGCCAGCGGCGGCTGCCGCAACGACGCCGACCTGTCCATCGCCACCTTCGACGTCGAGGAGCGGCCCGACGGCCTCGTCTACGCCCGCCTGCCGCCCGTGGCCGAGCTCGACGCCGCCCTGGGCACGGCGCGCTGGCGCGTCAAGAAGGACGAGGCCGGCCCCCACCCGTTCGCGGACCTGGACAAGAAGATCGCCTTCAGGGGCCTGCGCGCAAAGAGGCCCGGCGTCCGCCCCATGGCTGCCGACCTGCCCATGCGGAAGCCCGTCGAGCTCATGGCTGGCGGTGGGTGCGGATCTGCTCCCGACTGGTGAGAGGGGATGGGATGGGGGTGTTGAAGAGGGTTTTTTTTTTTCGGTCTCGAGCTCGGCTGTCTTCTTCTTTTGTCTTCCCCACGGCGAACAATTTGGGTTTGGTTTGGATGGTATGGCTGGTATGGTTTTCCACACATGGAAACAGACGAAAAGGCGTAAAACATGTTTGATAGATGTCTCTATTTGAGCCGGGTGACTCGAATTTCCATTCGTCGTAGCGGCAGCAGCAACGGACCTACAGGAAGATCAGAAATGATGCTCCCAATTTGCGTGTTGCAGTTGTCCATTCCTAGGTGGCACCCGTTTCCTACATCATTTCACTGGCTATGAGCGGGACAAACATCACAGATTATCGAGTGCCAATAACTGTATTCTCCAGCGACCAGACAGACGGGTTATAAAAAGCCAGATAGTGGGAACCAACGCAAAATTACACCTCACTGCGCCACATGATTGATGCCAGGCCATCACAAAACAGGGGTTATTCCTCAGACGTTCAAGCGTCATCCGTATCCTTTTTATCCGGTCCAGTTCTTGGTCTAACGCCTTGATGCAGAGCACGCCGCTGGCAAAGAAAAGGAAATTGCTATACGCGGGTCAACAGAGCATACCGACATCCTACGATACCCCTTGAAAAGAAGAGAACGAGAAATAAGACAAAAGGAGGGCCTGGCGCAAGAACAAGACACTCCTCGATTCGCTTCACTCGGAAAAAAAGAAGAAAATACACCAGCACAAACAGGCCTCAGCGAAACAGCGGCTCGGGGGAAAAAACACAAAAGTAAAAGAGCAATGTCTGGGATGCAAAAGGGTTGAAAGGGGATATCTAGCAGATCAACTATATACCAGAAGAGACAGAAGAAAAAGCCCATGGCGAGAGACCAACGTTTTTGTAATTATCGAGACAACACAAAGCCAGAGTGACCACCACCACGCCCCTGAGAAAAGCCGCGGGAAAAACAACCACCTCATTAAACAAAGCTCAGCATGAATCATCGTTCGAGGACGTCGAAAGTCCAGCAGAAGGCGTGCGCTCGTCGGTCACGCTTCCGGCCTCGCTCATGGTCCCGTAGCCCGGGTCCATGTCCATGCCGACGGCCGACTTGGTGATGGCGAGGCAGCGCTGCACCACAGCCTGGCGCGTCTCGCGCGACAGGGCGCAGCGGTCGCTCTCAGGGCCCCCGATCCATATCCTGAGCGCACCCGCAAGCCGCTCGATGGAACCCGCGCACGTCTCGGACGCGACCGCGTGCGCGTCCAGCCGCAGAATGAGCCCAAACGCAGCCGCGAAGCCAAGCAACGTCAGCCCCTCGGTAGAGCCGCGTAGAATCTTCTCCACCAGCTCCAGCGCCACCGGCTTGGGCCTGCGCGAGCTGAGGTGCGCCGCCACCATGGCGCAGTGGAGCGCCATCTTGGCATCCGGGTCCGCGTCGATCGCCTTGGTCGCCGTCGCTGGGGAGTCGATCAGAGGCGGCACTGCACGACTGTAGGTGGGGTACTTGTCCGGGTTTGACGACGGCGCCATGGCCTCGAGGGCGGCCACCATGTTGGCTCCGCGGTTCGCCTTGACCAGGAACGCGCGCGCAACCAAGGCCCTGACCTGCGCGTTGGAGCCAACGGGCGCCACCTTGGCAGCAAGAGTGAGGTCGTCCTCGTTGATCGAGCTGGTCGACGGTTCTTGTTCCGAGTCTCCCTTCTCCGTCGTCGTGGTGGCGATATCCAGGCTCGTGGTCAGGACCTGGTGAAGAACGAGGCTGGACCACCAAGCGGCGACGGCATCCATAGGCGACTTTATCGCGGGATCCTCAACCACAGCATTCATTCCGTCGATATCAGCCGCCACATCATGTGTCGTAGGGCGGTTCCAGGCAAGGTTGTGGGCTCTCTGCACAACGTCGTCGTTAAGCACGTCGTCGCACTCTTGGTCAAGCAGCACGGCGAGGTGGTCGGGGAGACTGTCATCCGAAGGAATCTGCTCCTGGGCCGACAGCCTCGGTGAAGACGACGCCTTGCTGAGCCTGTGAAGCTGCTTTGCCTGGTTCCACTTCGCCCGCGCCAGCTTGGCTGCCACGACATTGTGTATCCCGCCCTGGCCCAGCTGCCAAAGAAGCACTCGGATGTGCAGCGCCTTGAGCATCAGCCGGAGGGGCGTGTCTGGCAGGGTGCCCGAAGCCAGGAGCGTAAGTGTGAGTCTGCTCTTGTTGATCTCGACGTCACCTCCGGCGAGCTGAGCGTCAAGCGCAATGGCCCACGCCTTGACGCGCGCGGTCTCCTGTTCCTCGGTCAGTCCCGTTAATGCCTGGTATTGCTGGACGCCGATGGTGTTGCGGAGGCTCAGCTTCATCGTCTTGAGCATCAGTGCGGCAGCCTCGAGGATGAAATTGTGGCGTGGCACCCAGACCGTCTGGATGGCCGTAAGCCAGGCCTGCCGCCTAACACGGATTGGGGAGGCGAGAGATGGAACAGCCGATAGAAACGCCCTAGTTTGCTGCCTTGTCTTCTGCGGCCTGGGCGCCGCCGCCGAGAAGAGAGCCGGCACGAAAGCATACAGAAGCGAGCCAAAGAGCAGGAAAATCTTGAGCGAGGACATGAGCTGCACGGCGGAGAAGGAGTAGCCGGCGACGCTGAAGTGTGATGTCGACACAAACGTGTTGACCAGTTGGATGGGGGCGGCAAAGAGACCACGCCCGTCGGGCGAATCGGTGCTCGTCTCGCTCTCCCGCACAGCTTCGACGATCATGAGACCGGCCAGGGAGCCAACCATCATCTTGCCGAAATAAGGGGCAGTCTGCCCCCAGCGGCCCTGTTGGATCTGCTGTTGCTGCTGTTGTATTTGTTGCTGGCGCATCATGGCGGCGTTCTGTTGGTAGTTGGCCTGAGGCGCTATCGGGTAGGGTCGTCCGGCGGCCACCTGCGCCTGAATGATGCGCTTCATGTCGTCGGGCACCTGGATCATTCCAGGCGGGTCCTGGGCGCCCGGCGTGGGCATGGGCGATCCCATAAAGGCCTGCGCGTCCTGGGGGAATTGTATTGGCGTCGGCGGCGGCTGTTGCTGGAGCGGGCTCATGGCGCCATTCAAGGCCCCGGCCATGAAGAGCTTCTCGAAAGCGCTGATACGCTGCTGCATCGAATCGTTTTCGTGCATGAGGCGGTTATTTCGTTTTTCCAGATGCCTGATGTATTCTGTGGCCTTGCTCAGAACCTAGACAGTGAGGCACCAACATATCACGTCAGTCCATGCGCCTGAAGGAGTGCTGCCCGCGATTCTCCCGCTGAATGCCAACATGCAAAAAGACCTGACAGCAGACATACCGTTGCCTTGTTCAGCTTGTGGGCGGGGGTCAGCCCATGCAGCTCTTCACGATCCTCGGTCGTGTCCTCGCCTCTTGCGCTCTTGGACATGATCCTCAAGCTGGGCACGCTATCTCGTAGCGCAGCAATCTTGTCGTTCAGATTTGTCCTGTACCTCTTCTCAATCATGTTGTGGGCTGTCTTCTTGACGGGCTGCGTTCCGTCGTCGTCATCATCGTCGTCGTCATCATCGGCCGAGGACTTGCGCTTGCGGCTGCTCGTCTTCGACGGCTCGGCAGCCTCGGGTGACGAGATGGATTCACCCTTGTCCTTGTCGCTCGGGCTCGACTGCGGGCTGGGTTCACTCTGGGGCGAGTGGTACTGGAGGTGTGCTGGCATGGCGATGTTCTTCAGCCGCTCCTGCTGGTCGGGGGTGAGGGTCTGGAGGACCTCGGGGGCCGGATTCGGACGGACGTGGCCGGCGGGGGCAGGAGGAAGGATCAGCGGCTCAGCCTGCAGGGCGATGGGGCTGATGTCGGCCGGTGAGAGCTGCTGGTTCTGGTTGCCCGGCTGCTGAGGGAGGCCGCGCTGGGGAAGCTGTTGTTGGTGGCTGTGGTGGTGGTGGGCGGTGAATGGAGCACCTGCCTGCCACGTCTGCTGGATCTGTGATCGGTCGGCGCCGTAGAAGGTGTCAAAGTGGTTCACGCTCTCGTACGCGTCGTAGGGCGGCGTATCCTCGAAGGACGTCCAGGCGCTGTCGGCAGTCTGGTAGAAAGGGATCCCCTGGGCCGCTGTGCCGCTGGGGAGGCTCTGGGGGTTGGTGGCTGCGGCGACGGCTTGGCCCGCGGCAGGACTGTTGCTGGTCCGGGAAGAGCTGGCGTTGGGGTGACTTGGTTGGTTCAGGTTGTGGTGGTTGGAGGCGGCGTTGGAGTCTACGGTGGACGAGGGATCGTCGCTACTGCCGAAGAAATTGGCCAGGCTCGCGTCGTCCAGGCCGCCGGCGGTAGCAAACAGGTCCTCGTGGTCGTCCATGGTGGTGGTGCTGACGGGGCTGGTCGAGATCATGCAGAGGTGGTTCGATGGGCCTAACGCGGCACTGCCGACGCAGTTCTGGGCTGACAGGCGATGGGCGATGGGCGATGGGCGATGGGAGGGGGTCCCGTCGGTCGGTCCCGCCAGCAGCGCGATGAGTCGGGCAGCTGCCACGGCCACAGAGAGCGTCTGGCCGGGCCGCTCAGCGGGCAGGGCAAGGATGCGGGCGCTCGCTATTGGAGAGCGGCAGCGTGGAAATCTGCGCAAAATCGTACGTTCGCTAAAAGAGAGCCTCAATCCCGCCCAGCGTTCGCGGTGCTCGAGGTCCGATGCTGCCCTGTCTTTGTTTGGTGCGTTGTTGGGGAGAGGTGGGAAGAGTCGCAGCAGAGTCCTGGAGCGACACAGTCAAATCAGCCCATTCGGGGGGGCGATCAGGCCATGTGTCTCAGGTCTGCTCGCTTGGCACGGAGCCCTCACGTGCAGGCCGATTCCCTGGCTGAACCCTCGCTATAATAGATGCTGGGCGCTCGCCAGGCCCGCTCTTTCAATGTTCCCCTGCGAATGCGGCGCTGAGCTTTTTCTCTTCGGAACTTTTACTCGCTGTGTTTTTTTCACCTGCGTTTCCTCGCAACGCCCGTTGGGTCTTGTATTAAAATTTCCATGACGGTGCCCGGCCACAGTGCCGCGCACACCCAGCAACTAAAAGCCCCACGGCGTTGTGCGCAAATATTGGCGCTATTGGCGCCTCTGATTGATCCGTTCTCGCTTGCACTCGCAACGTCGGCAGCCCCGTCGGACTAGCTGAGGCCACCATCGGTTCCTACTGTTTTTTTTTCTGTGCGCCCGAGTGCGTGTCTCTGTGCGGGTGCGGGTGGTCGCCGGAGGGCTGAAGCGCGGTGCGCAACTGAGTTTGCGCGGGCTGTTGGTCCATCTTCACAGCGCCCAAGGGCAAACCCGAGTTGCGTCTACCCCCCCTACTGGCAAAGTGGTCCGAGCTACCTTGCATGGTGCCGAACGTGCCGTATCCGCCCATCGCAAACCCAAAATACAGCAATTAATTGAGCATCGAGGCATCTCAGGGAAAAGTCCTTTCGCCAATCCGGACTCCCAGGAAGCGGCACCAGATTCAGTCGATAGAATATCAATGAAATTATGCAGACGATTACTGCGCAGCTGTTATGCTGTGCTTGGGCTGGATACCCCAGCGTTTTTTTTTTTTTTGCATTGACATAGGCCGTTTGCCACAACCCATTTTTCCAACAGAGACCTCGGCCCACAGACGCGGGGACCAGCGCGTGCAGCCAGAGTTACGGTCCGTGCGCACAAGCCGGCTCTCCCAGGAAGCCGGCGCATGTCGATTCACAGCCCGTTGCCGCCATATTCTGTGCAGCGTTCAACGCCCACCTATGTCAGTTCCAAGGGTAGCGTTTATTCCACACGGCCTTTCAGCATAAGCGAGACTAGCCCATGGGAAATACCAAATTTATCCCACACCAGTAACCCCATGCATTGCCTCTTCAAACTCTATCCGATGACAGCAAAGATGGGACCAGCTTCAAACTGCTCCAAAACTGATATAAGCCCGTCTGACACACCAGTTCCCACAACCCAACAGGTCCAGTGGCCAAATGGCAAGGCGCTTGACTACGAATCAAGAGATTGCAGGTTCGATCCCTGCCTGGATCGACTATATCTTTTGCTCCCACGCAGTCTTTGTATTTATATTTTTTTTTGCCCCTTTTTCGCCCTCACTCTCTCCTCTCCCTGTATTGTCCTGGCATCCTTTCGAGCATCACAAGATCATCTTATTTTGTATGTAATGTAAATAGTAGCATGTGTCCCAGAGAGATTTACGTGTGTATCTTACACCAGCTTGGTTGTTTGGCCCATTTATCATGCACTTGTGAGCAGGCTCGGCGAGAACCTCCTACGCACGAAGTTAGTTGAAAGGGGTGTCGGGATCAAAGCAATCATGCACCACTGGAACAGGCACGGCGAAGTGTGAACGGGAAAGTAAAATATGGAAATGTAACTCTGTTGTTGCGAGAAAAGCGAGGCCGCCGCGTGCCGCTCTCCGTAGGATATCATCTCTTCCCTATTCCTCCAGTTCTAGTACAAGCCCCCAGATCCCAAATCCCAGCCATCAATCGCCTCTCCAGAGCTATGGTGATATCATTAAGAAAGAAACACAAGAAGCAGGGTTTAAGACAGAGCGCAAGTGACGGCGTCCGCGACATAGGTGCTCGGAGCCTTGCGGGAATCGTAGCATGATAGTGTAAAAGAAAGAAACCGAGCGAGGGTCAAGAAGAGAAGAGGGAGAACCAAGGAAGAAAAGGGTGTAAATGCTGGATGAATATGCTGTGGGTTGGATGTCTCTCAAAGCTGTTCTTTTTTTTTTTGTGCTTTGCGTAGTGAAGTGATTTTCAATTTTTTTATCCAATTTTAATCTTTGTATTGCAATTATCTCGTCGTGGTGTTTCGTGATTCTCATTCGCCGTGTGCCCACAGCTACCAGATATCGCTCTCGCTCTTGACCATCTCGAGCGTCGGGGTCTTGGGCTCGAGCTTCCTCATCCTCTTGCGGTCGGCCCTGGTCACGAGGCTGGGCGTCATGGGGATGACGGGGGAGAAGGGCTGGTACGGCGAGTACGGCACGGCGGCGCCCGTGAACGGGGTCCGCTGGCCGTTGGGCGACAGCGGACCGGCGCGCTCAAACGTCGTCTCCTTGGTCGTGCGCGCGATCAGGCCCGGCGAGGCGAGGGCGGGCTCGTAGGCCCGCAGCGGCAGGGCGCCGCCCGTGCGCACCGCCGACGGCGCGCCGGACCGCTGGAAGGTCGCGCCCGGCTTGGGCGACGACGGCAGCGCCAGCGAGCCCGACGGGAACCGCGACATGCCGGGCTTGGGCGACTGCGGCAGCCCGACCAGGGGCGTGGTGGACCGCTCCGAGGTGGCCGACTGCGGGTCAACCTCGGTCGTGACGGTCGACACGTTGCGCGAATGGTAATTGTTATTGTTGTGGTGGTGGTTCTGCTGGTGTTCCCGGAGCGGCAGCTGTCTCCTGTGCTGGGAAGCGTCCGCCAGCTGTCCGCCGAGCCTCTCGTCGATGCTCTGCGTGCTGTCGGGCGACATGTCGGGTGTCAGGGGCTGCATTACACGCCGCGGTTGGCTGTGCTGCTGCTGATGGTACGGCTGGTCGGTGGGCACCGGCGGTGGCGCGGCTGGCGCATACTGCCTGGGCGGGATCGTCCTCAGCTCTTCGCCCTCGGCCCGCGGAAAGGTACCGGTCATGGGCGTCATTATGGGTGACGAGATGCTAATCCCCTGCACCTGGCTCTTCTTCTTGAGCGGCGACTTGAGCGCCGACAGGATGGATGCTGTCCTCGAATGGGGCTTGTCCTCCTTGGACAGGTTCAGGCTCGCCGGCTTGAACCTCTCCTTCTTGGTCAGCGTCCCAGTGCTGGCCGAGGCCTGGTGCTGCGGTGGGGGCAGGCGTGCTGCGGGCATTGGCGGCGCCTCAAACTTGACGCCCGCCTCCTTGGCTGCCTCCTGCTCCATCACCAGCCGATACATGTCTTCTAGCTGTGTTTGCGCCATTTGTCTGTCTGCAGCCACCACGTTTTGGTCCACGGAGAGATCAACGCCAGGGGCGATTATGGTCGATGTGGGCGAGGGTGCGTATGTGTGGAACGACTGCTCGGTCCTGGTGGGACTGGCGAGAGCCGGATAGGAAAAGTTCCTTGGGCTCAGCGCGGGAGCCGTTGGGTATGGATACTCTTGCCCGTTGACCGGATAGGAGAACGAGGGGTCCGGAGCGGGGATCGGGGCGAGGTCGTCAAATGATGGTAGCTTCAGCGTCCCGTCGTCGTCCTCGAGTTCGTCTGCTGCCTCGAGACGCTTGCGTCGGGTCTTTGCGAGGGCGAGGAGGGCGGTGGCGACCAGCACCAGGCAGAGGGCGTATGAGCCTACGATGCCGCCGATCTGTGCCGGTAGGTAAACCTTGTCCGAGAGGGCCCGAGGCGAGAGCGAGGGGCCGCGTGCTTGGGACGACGGTGGCGACGATGGTGCGGAGCTGACAGGTGTGGAGGCAGCAACGACAAGACACAGGACAAGACTCGATGGCGATATGCTTGGGAGGGCGAGTTGGGTTAAGGGAGGGAAGCGCTGAGGGAGAATATGATATATACTGGAGGCGGAGGGTGTGTGCATGATTAAGGAGGAGGGGACAGAAGCGGAGGTGAGGCACGCTCTCACGGTAGTGGCCAGGTCGGCATCCCTTATTCGACAAGTCGGGGACCGGCGTGGAGTGGAAAGGGGTCGGGTAAAACGCTTGGTGCGTCGACGAGTGACGGGAGCGAGCCAGTGCAGATGCTGACGGCGTGAGAGATCAGCCAGGCGGGCGCCGGGTCAGGGAGGCCACGACTGGGTATATAGCGGCTGGTGATACCGTGATGCGGCGGCAGCTGTGCGCCCGATGTGTCGAGGGTGGGCCACGGCCGCTAACAGCGCCAGGCCCAACATTGGCTGGACCGCAAATAGACCGATGGGCTGATGGGGCGTGGCCAGCATCCCATGGGTCAAGCAGGGCAAGAGGGCTGGCATAGTGTCTCCCATTGGGGTGCCAGAGCCCGCATTGAAAGCCCGCATTGGGGGCCGGTGGTGCCAGTCACTCCGGTCACTCCAGTCACATTACGACTGTCCCTGGGAGCGCTCTCTGCTCGTCGGCGAGGGCGGGAGGGCGGGATAGGTGGGCGGCGGTGTGCCGTGGTTGGACAGGCGCCCGCATCCAGCAGGGGCTGTAAGCGCCCGCGATTTGGTGCGCCTGCGTGATGATTGGCCGTCGATCAGTGGGGCCGCTGCCAATGCTCCCCAATCGTCCCTGCCCGTCACGCCGCCATCGCAATTTTCGGGTGCGCGCGACATCTGGTTGGCCCGCACCCCTGTCGAGCCACGGCGGCTTTCCCCTCCTCCAGCCAGCCGTCCGGGCCAGTCAGGGAGCTCGCCACCCCTCCATCTCCGGTCATGCCTGCCATTGGGTTTGCTCCTGCAGAATCTCCTTCTTACTCGCTCGAGGGGACTGGCACGACTGGGTCTGTGCGAGAACAATTGAGCAGGAAGGATTGCTGGCGGATTGCCTCATTCCAGCGGTCCGGCAGGCATGCCAGCTTGTGTCTCTTGAATCCTCGAGGACTCGCTTGTCCGTGTTGTGTGTCCCAAGCCCACACCTACCCGGCCTCGCGGGCTCGCAGCGTAGCACCAACCTGCATTGGCCTGGACTGCCGGCATGCGAGCAAGATTCTGTTCAGCCGTTCTGTTCAGTTCTGTTCCAGCCGACGTGTGATTCGTTTCCTCGGGCTTGTTGGAGGTCAATCCCGTGGTGTGGCGGTCTGTTGGTGGCCGAAATGGGTTGAGTGATATCGTGTCCCTAGCGAGGTTGAACTGAATTCGGCCTTTGCAACCTAGTGGGGTACGAGCCGCGCGTGTCAGCATTAGCTCACTGATCAATGCGTGATGTGCTCAAAAGACTGCCTGCTGTGCATTGTCACTGCTGCCAGTCGCCTCGGTCACATCAGCTGCCAATGAGGACATGATGATAGCCCGCCAGTGATGGGGATGGCACCTGCGAGCACAATGACACCGAATGGTTAAAAATTGGCGCCAAGCGCGGGGAGAAAGGGGTACCAACAAATAGTAGAGAAATATGTGATATGATGGTTGATCCCAACGACCGTTCAAGAGTGTCTTCCTTTGAGAGATGTCCGACTTTGGCGGGCCGACGACATGAAGAATCTACTTCACTGAAAACTGCCTGTCCGAAGAGCCGAGCAGAGGGGTCTACTATATCCGGCACGAGGCGGCATGGAAGGATCGTTGACGACATGGTTCGAGAAGTGCGAGCAGCTCGGAAAGAAATCATAGCAGTTGTCGGACTTGATATTCGGACTTTGTTTGGCTTCGCTTGCCTCGTGTCCATGATATGCCCGTTGTCCGCTGTCTAGATCACATATTTAAGCCGCCCGATGTTGCCATCAAGTCTAGAGATTCTGGAGAGAAGTACCTAGTTTCTAAAGAGCCATTAGGAGCACTACACTGCAAACACAAAGACCACCACAGCCAGCTATCCGGGACCCCACGATGAAGTACTCACCGATCTTGTTCTGCCTCGGTCTTGCCGGCGTCGCCTTTGCTGCCCCGCAGGTGTGTTACCAGACAGCCGGCCCACCAACCAAAATCATGGCTTCGTGCGCTGACCTCGTACCAACCCTGGTGTAGCCTGCGGACACTACCACTACCGGCGAGGTTGTCCAACGGGCGGACGGCTCGTTCTCGCTCAAGCCCCGCTTCGCAGACCTAGACCCGCGTCAGGGCCCTTGCCTCGAGTGCCCATGCACCGGTTGGGACCCCGACTCTTGCTGCTGTCCCCGGGGTCGGAACTGCTGCAACCGCTGCAACACTTGTGCCTAGGACGGAGCAATGTCGATGTCGGTGATGCGGAAACCTGTTGATTGGTTTTTGTGGAGGGAATCTACTTTTGTTGTATGGTCGGTAACCCTTCAGCCCCATCGAAGATGGAGGGGGCATGTCACTCCTTAAACTTGGGGCCTCGCAGGTCAGCGCCCCAGTAAAAATTAAAAGCAACATGGCCATACCACCCAGAATGGAGACACTGGACTCCGTTGGCAGGCAGAGTGAGATCTCCTTGCATCCACGATCAACCAAGGCCCAGCGGGTATTAGCTCGGTGTGGATTTCTTGTCCCGGCGGCTGGACTGGTGAGCTGGTTGGCCGTATGTTTCGAAACGGCGTTGCTCTGAGGCGAGGCACAAATTGCCGGACGTGGTGAATTTGGATCTTCCAGCCCGACTCTCATTCGGGTTCCAGCTCGGTTTGTTGGTGGCTTGAGCCGTCAGCACACGTACTCCACAGTGAGATCACACTGTCACACGCCATCTGTGACGTGATGAAGAGAGCAATTGGCCAAGCCAGCTAGCTGTCTTCCGCCAGCGTAGGGATTCGGTCTCGTAACCGCTGGCCCGATTTTTGCAGACCTACTTAGCCGGGCTGCATATGCAGACTGCGCAAGCAAAAGCTGTTTGAGGCTGATTCAGTGGTCTTGGCAGGGCCAATGTCCTGAGAAAAAGGGATGTCTGTGAAGCTTGTCGCAACCCCACATCATCACGTGCAGGGGCGCGATGGATCTCGTCACATGATTTCGCGGTCAGAAGTGCAGTGACGCTCTTTGCCGTGGGTGTGAGTTGGCGACATGCAGACGCGACATCGCGTCGCTGATTTCTCTAATTGGCATTGGCTCGCAGAATCGAAAGCACACTCTCCTAGAATACCCTCGATTGAACACTCGCTTTCTTCCGATCCCCAACGTCCCATGATTTAGCTGGGGGCGCTTCCCCGCGCTCGTCGACCATGGCGGACGCGTCGGCACGCAGCTCGATCCTCGCATCGCTGAACCCCGCCCAGCGCCGCGCGGTCGGCTCCAATGCTTCAACCGTCGCGATCCTGGCTGGCCCCGGCAGCGGCAAGACGCACACCCTGACATCGCGCGTCGTCTGGCTCGTCGAGGTCGTGCGCTATCGACCCCAAGATGTCGTTGTCGCCACCTTCACCGTCAAGGCGGCGCGCGGGATGGCGGAGCGCATCGACAAAGCCCTCGGCACCGAGAAGGGCAAAAAGATCGTCCTGGGGACCTTCCACAGCATCTCGCGCAGATATCTCGCCATCTATGGCAAGAAGATTGGGCTGGACTCAAAGTTCAGCATCGCCGACGACTCTGACTCTCGCGCCGTCATTACCAGGATCTGCAAGCGTCTCAACCTGGGGATCGATCCGGCCATGGCTCGGGGTTGGATCAGCAAGAAGAAGTCGAGATGTGGGGATGAGGTCCCGGTACAGAAGCCAGGGGCAGCCAAGAGCCAGAACAACCAGCAACTGGAGACGTGCTACCAGGAATACCAGGACCATCTTGCCCGGTCCAACCTGCTGGACTACGATGACTTGCTTGTAAAGTGCGTCGAACTGCTGCGCGTCGCACCCGAGTGCGTGTCCAACGTGCAGGCCGTCCTGATCGACGAATACCAGGATACCAATGGGATACAGTACGAGCTCATGAAACTGCTCGCACAGGGGCGCCAGACCATCACCGTCGTCGGCGACCCTGATCAGAGCATCTACGGGTGGCGCTCGGCCGATATTAGAAATCTCAGTCGAATGTTCACCGACTTCCCAGCCACAGACAAGGTCGCGCTGGAGGAGAACTACAGATCCTCGGAGCGCATCCTCGCAACCTCCCTGAAGATCATCCAGCAGGACGAGAAGAGGTTCGACAAGGCCCTCAAGGCCGTCCACGCCCGGGGGACTAAGCCGGTCCTCCGGAAGCTCCGGTCATCTTCTCAGGAGGCGGAGTGGATAGTGTCTGAGCTTAGAAGGATAATACTACTATCCGGGAGCTTGATGACACACGACGACATCGCAATTCTGCTCCGCTCGGCCTCGCTGTCCAGGCATATCGAGAGCGCGCTGGGGAAAGCCGGGATTCCATACAAGATGGCCGGTGTGTTCAAGTTCTATGAGAGAGCCGAGATCAAGATTGTGCTCGACTATTTGCGGGTCATCAACCAACCTCACGCCAACGACTCCCTCGCGAGGATAATAAACGTCCCAAAACGAGGAGCTGGGGACACGACCATCAAGGCTTTGCTGGAGGAGGCCGAAAAGTCTTCACAGAGCCTTTGGAGCCTGCTTCATAAACACTGCACGGGCAATCGCTTGGCAAAAACCAACATCCGAAAGCAGGTCGAGCAGAATCTGACCAGCGGTCTTATAAGGCTAGTGCTGGATGCGCGGAAACGCGCGAACGCTGCAACCCCTGAGGAGCCTTTCGGACTGCTCGAGATCATCGAGCACGTGCTGTCTCGGTTGAACTTTGAGAAATACCTCCAGGACACATACAACGACGAGTGGGAAGGCCGCTGGGCGAACGTGCAGGAGTTGGTAAACATGGCGACCGACTTTACCAAGGGGGCTGAGGCGGATGAGAGCCTCCCAGAGATCGACGGCGTCGAGCAGGCTCCTGAAAAGGACACCCTCGCCAAGTTTCTAGCCAACGTATCCTTGGCGGCGGACGTGGCGAAGGACGACCCGGACAACTCCAAGCCCATGGTCACCGTCTCCACCATCCACGCCGCAAAGGGCCTCGAATGGCCCGTGGTGTTCATCCCGGCCGTGTACAACGGCAGCATACCACACTCGCGGTCGGAAGATGGCGACGAGGAGCGACGGCTTCTTTATGTGGCCATGACCCGGGCCAAGGCTCTGTTGTATCTCAGCCGTCCACTCTTTGGAGGCTATGGCAGCGGCGAAAAGGTGGAACTGTCGTCATTCATCACTGGAGTCGAGAGCTATTTTGCGAAGCAGGGACCCGCCTTTGATCGCAGCGTGGTGGAGGAGATTGGGCGTATTCTCGGGAGAAAAGCGCCGACCGAAGGCGAGATATTCGATTCGCTGAAGCCATTCGAGGTCTCGATGGATGACGACGCGTATCCTGTCGACCCTGAGCAGCACGATCGTGACTCGGGGCTGAGCCGCACAGGATCCTGGGCAGACAACTCTGGAGACCGAGGCCCGCGTGTCAAGCGGGCCCGGCATTCTGCCGGCGCAGGGCTGGAACAGCAGGAGCAACAGCCTTGGGCGCATAACATTGGCTTCACCACTACGATGGACCAGTCGGCAGGGTTCACGATGGCCAGCTTCCCTGGGTTCGTCACGGCCGGGAGCCATCACGCTACCACCCCGCCGGCGCCCGCCCCGCAGAACAACCAAGGCGCCGCGGCACCCGCTGCCGGCCGCCAGTCAGACCAACGAAACATGCTTGGCTTTGTCCACGGCGGGGCAAAGGCACAGCCCAAGGCCGGCCCCAAAGCGCCACCCGGTGTAGGAGCTAGATCGAGCTCTGCGAGACCCGGTGCCCCTGGGCGCCCTGTGGCGCAACCCCACGTCCCGGTCGCTGGCCAGCAGATGGCTCGGCAACCGCAGGCCCCGGCCAGCGCACGGCCAGGGATAGCGCCCGAGCTTGCGAACCACCGGCTGGGAAGCGGCAATAGAGGTGCCACGATGCCGCGACCGGGCGCAGCGAAGCGCGACCACGCAGCCGCAACTCGCTACTCGCACTTTTCCAGCTCGCCAACAAAGACGGAGCGCTCACAGGGTGCTGCCGCAGGCCAGGTTGGTGATGGTGAACCGACGCCCCAGGGCCTGCAGGCGGCGTCTTGCTTCCACACAACCACATGCTCGCTGCCGAGCGGCGTGCCGATCAGTATAAAAAACAGCTACAACAAGAAGCCGATGGGGGCTCCGCGGGTCAGCACGGGGTCGCTGGACAGGCTGCGAAAGCCGTTTAAGCCCTTGACCATTAACCGGTCTTCCTGAATGGCGCTATGGCAACTTTCTATGCAGGGGGTAATGACACGATTGGCTTTTCCACCAGGCTGGCTATATTAGTAGGCAAGATTTGATGCCTTGATTACGTGCTGTCTCTCTTGACCAAGCCCCTGCCGGCTCAGCTGCTGTTTTGTAAATATGACTGCTGGAAGTAGCTCGAGAGCAGGGTATGAAAACAAGAAGAGAAAAAAAAAGAACGAATGCTTGCACAGCCCGGGTTAATGTGAGGCTCTACCACCCATCTAATCTACCACATTGAATTGTTAAAAATTTCCGGGCCGCAAAAAGCTTATGCCCACATTCCCCGACGCCCGCGGGCACCCAACACGCGAGAACCCTGCAACCGCCTCATAGTATGTATGAGTAGATTTTTTTTCTCTCTCCCACTTTCCCCCACCTCCTGGACCCATCGTCCGCCGCATGTGGCTTAGTAGGCGCGTGGGCGTGTCTAGTATGTGGACACGGAACGGACCCGCTGCCTCTGCTTCACATGCCTTCGGGCGGGGTTCCGAAGGGCCGCATCCCGCCATCCAGGAGGCCCATGATGTCCCTGCTCCCGGCGAACCAGTCCCCCAGGCTGAAGTCGATGGGACCCATTTGCTGCTGGTGGTGGTGCATGTCCAGGGGCTGGCCCTCGAGCGGGACGCCGCCGTCGGGGTGGTGGGGCCAGCCGGTGCCTTGCTGGTGCTGTTGGTGGTGGTGGTGGTGGTGGTGGTGGGCGGAGGAGGCGTCGGGCTGCATGAGCCCGAGGGCGCCAAGGCAGACGTCGAACTCGCCGATTTGCATCATGTCCTGGTCGCCCTGGTCGTCGAGGTGGTGGTGTTGTTGCTGCTGCTGGTGTTCCTGCTGCTGCTGGCGGCTCTTGGCCTCGAGGTAGGTGGTGGCGACGTTGCAAAAGACGTGGCAGAGGCGCTGCAGCTTCCGCACCTGGTCCGAGATGCGGCTGGCGGGCAGGAGCGAGTCGGCAAAGTCGCGGATGCGGGCCAGGTCCTCGACGGACGAGGTGCTTATGGTCTGGCAAAAGAGCACAAAGAAGGGCGCAAAGGGCGTCAGGACGATGGACCAGTGGATGTAGGCGACCTGCAGCTCGAGGTTGTCGGCGCTGGCGGCGACGCAGGCCTGGTGCATGCGCATGACGCGGCGGGCGGCGTCCAGGCACTCGTCGCAGAAGCTGTCGGCCGACCCCTCGGGCGCGGGGATGGCGCGCGTGATCATGGTGAGGGTCGTGTAGCACGTGATCTCGTCGCCGATGAGCTGCAGGTCGAGCGAGTCCTGGTACTGCGTCGTGGGCTTGAACTCCTCGGTGATGAGGCTGCGCGCCTTGCGCGCGTCGTCCATGACCACCTCGAGCTCCCGGCTCAGCCGCCGCGCGCAGTCGACGATCTGGCTCCGCGGCTTGGCCGAGGCGCGGGGGCTGTATCTGGACGGGGGGGTTTATTTTTCTTCGTTAGCGCTTCTGCCTCTTGTGATGACACAAAGACACCTAGGTACCTAGTTCCGGGGCAGAGAAAACTTACAAGAGCTCGTAGACGTTTGCCTGGATGTCGGCAACCTTGACCGACAGCCCCAGCAAGCTCGACCACGGTCCGGGCGGGGCTGTTTTGTCGACATCCCGTGGTATTGTGACCTCGCAGCTTCGGATCACGGACGAGTACCCTAGCCGGAGCGCGAGGGCGTTTTCCAGCACGTATACGTACCAAAACACAACGGCCTTGAGGTTCCTGGCCTGCTGGTCTTCTTTCCTCATGACCTCCTGCCGGTGATAGCCGAGGGCCTGGCACATGCGCGCGGCCGTGGTTATCAGATTCCATGCTAGCGAGGGTCTGCAGTTGTGGCCGATGGTGTGCATGGTCTAACTTGACAGGTTAGCTACTCGTGTCGGATAGACAGCCGGGAGGTGTAGGTAGGTAGTGAAAACTAACACCGATGAGGAGTGCTTTGATGTTTTGCGACGTGGCGGGCAGGCAGAGCGGGAGGCGGAAGAAGGCCGCCTCGAGGTTTTCTTGACACAGCTCCTCGTAGCCCTGGTACTCCTGCCTGAGCGACGCATTGTCCGTCGCGTAGCTCTCCTCGGCAAAGATGTGGTAGAGACAGGCGTTGACGATGATGAAGGTGGCCTCGGTGAAGTCGTCGGCGTTGAAATAGACGTTTCTGCACATCTCGACAAACTCGTCATTCTCTATGAACGGAAGGTCATTCTCCAGGATGTTGGAGGCGCCAGATTCTGGTACTCGCGCCGGCGTGGTGAGTATGCAGCAGCCCCCCGGGACACCAACCGAACGTTTGGTGTTGGGGGAAAGGACGAACCTTTGAGTTGACGCAGCAGGCCCAGCACGGTGGCCATGGGCGGCATCTTCAGGTTCTGCATGCCGCTGGTCACCGACTTTGGCTGGCCGTTTCCTCTGAGCCCCAGCTCCGAGGCCGACGGGTGATCCCTCTGCATGGTCACGATCTGGCGCAGCGACGCCAGGGCGTCGTACATCCTGGGGTTCCCATCGTCGTGCACGGGCGTCAGCCCGACGGCGTTCTCAAAGAACTCGCCAGCAAAAGTGGACTGTGCCGTTAGCGAGGAGCCGCCCTCGTACGTGGGCGGGAGGTCAGGCTCCGGGGGCGAGCTGGCCTGGCTCCCGGGCGTTTTGTTGCTCGAGGCGGCCACCGACGACACGGTCCTGATGGGGAACTCGGTCGTGATGGGGGTCGAGCGGCGAGGGGCGGAGCCACGATCGGGCTGGCGGTCCCTCCTGAGCAGCTCCTCGATCGCCCCGAGCCTTTCCTCGATGCGGTCTATCTTTCTCTCACTGTGAAGGACAGGTTAGGCTCGAGGGGGCTCGAGAGGGCTCGAGAGGGCTCGGGGAGTGCAGTGGCTGATGGGTACGAACTATTGGGTGGATATGAGAACCCGTTGACCACCAACAACGCTCCTGCGCCCCAGACCGGTCGTGGTGCAGTTCCGCGAGGCTGTGCGACAGTTGGCACATGGTGTTTGCCTGTCGCAGCGGATCTAGACGCGGAGAGGGCCCGTCGATCAGTCCATGCCCTCTGTCACTCGTGCTGTCACAGGAACGCTTCTTATAGCAGCCACCCCGGCAGGCAACCAAGCCAGGTGGCCGAAGCAGTGGAAACAACACGAGATGCACGCCATGGATGGCGTGGCTTCCATATTGTGCCCTCGCACAAATGGGCCGCTTTAAGGGTAGGATTTAAGGGTAGGGACTCACTTTTCGGGAGCGGCATTGGTCACACTGTATTACATGCACTGCATATTAGTCTACAAAGCTCTTTGCTAAGGTGCAGAATTGGGCAGGTGGGAGCTGGAGCTTGAGGTTTGTAGGGTTGGGGTCGCCCGAGGTTACGTGCCGCGCGAGAAAATGACTCGCTGCCAGAGGCAGGATCTGGCATCCAGGGCTGGTGCTGATGGTCCATGGCCAAGGTGCTAACACAGCAATGTACTCGAGGGCGGCGGCGGTTGGAGCAGGCGGACGGGGCGGGTGTTTGCTTCAGCCGTAGGGCGGCGAAAACACGGAGCGAGGCATGCTGGCATAGGGCGCGGCTCTTTTTCAGGTTGATGATTCTTTTGGCTCAGGGGATGGGCTGCAGAGGGCTTGCTAAGTGGCTACATGGCGATGCCAGGGCAGTGGAACCGCCCAAATGATTGGTCGAGACGTGGCTGAGTATTTCGTCAACCTTATTCCCAAAGTGGAACAAAAATGGAGGGGTTTTGGGTTGATGTCAGGGCATCGGGGCCCGAAGAACCCGCCTCCCAGCAGCCGCCAACTATCTGTGCCTATATCACCTGGACGTATGTGCTCTGCCGATGGCCATAGCAGCTCCTGTTCTCTGTTTGGCGGTCCCTGCACCTCCCCACAGACCTTCGCTCAAGGCTGAGCGGGCGAGGTGGGAGATGAAAAAGGCCGGGCCCCGTCGGGCAGAGCCTTGGCATATTCCAATGACACAGCGGCCGCCTTGGCATATTCCAATGACACAGCGGCAGCAGAGTGCCTGTGGCATTGTGCAGCATATGTAGAAGCCGGGTAGCGACAAGCGACGTGTCGTCAGACGGACGGAATAATCTATCTCTCTTGTGGGACCGGGCCCATCAAAAGTAATGGCAGCGGAATACGCGGTCATCGTATGGCTGGTCCGTGCTCTACGACAATATGACGATACCTGCTCTGGGCTAGCATTTCCGTGCCAGCTCAACGTAGCGCACTAACAGCAGCCTTATGCTGGCGACCCTAATCATCCCGAACATGACGGCCAGGCATGTTAGCTTGAAGCCGTAAGCGATGCCCTCCAAAGGATGAGAAACAGAGGGAAGACGATGAGTTGGAAGATGTATAAAGAGGAGGCCCTCTTGCTGTTGCCATTTGATGTGATTCAATGCTCTGCAGTCACAACAGCAAACACCGACATTCTCACTGAAGCATCATCAACTCCCTGATTTTGAAGTCCTACTGTCATCGGAATTGACCCGCCTTCATTCTCGACACAAGCCCCGACTCCCAATCGGGTAGCTTCACCGACTCGCACTTTATTACGCACGGTCACCGGCACAATACAGTGCCTGAGTGCATAGCAGCAATGGCGTCCATCATGTCCCGCCAGGCCCTCCTTCGCATTTCAGTGAGGGCCCCTCACATGATCAAGAGATCAAGCAACCGTGCGGCCGCTGCAACTATCCCACAGAAACATGGACACGGCCGCGCGTTTTCATCCACAGCGAGGACCCCCGCCATGGGCCAGCAGCAGCAGCAGGTCGGCCGCAGTGGTGGCATGCCTTCGGGAGAGGCCACCGAGATTCCGGCTTTCAGCCTCAAGCAACTGAGCCCGAGCCCGCGGATGCGCTACGCCATAGTCGCCCTCCTCCTGACGACGGGGTTCCTGGAGGGCGCGTCCTGGGTCTACTTTTGGCCCAAGGTCTCTGGCAGCGCGGAGGGGGAGAAGGAAGACAAGTGATCCTGGCTTTATTGGGGAAGAAATATGAGGGTCTTGGATCCCCACTACGATCATGTGTGCGATGGGGGTCGGGATGCTACTGTGTACTGCCGTGCTGACGGGAATGCGTGCTGACGAGAATGTAGCGGTGTCTTGGCCTTTTTTTTTCTTTTGTTCTGTCTTTCAGGGAGGTTGAACGCCCGCTGTTTAAAGTATTTTGTGCCAGGGTATTTGGCTAGGTTTGATGCGCCTGAGCATGAAGATGCCGGCGTCGTTACCAGGTAGACGGAATAGCAACACGCCACTCCCACGTGTGGATTAGGCTCTATCCATATATACTGGGAATCTCTCAAGCTTTGCATGCTCGATCGACTCGACGCACAAAAGGTCTCCAGCAGCTCGTCTATCGGCGCAAGGGCAGGACAGAAGCGGAGAGACTGGTCACCGGCCATCGCACATACAGCCAATGTCGCATTTTGTTTGTCAGCGACCAACCAAGTCCCGGCGACAGGAAGGATCAGCCGAAGTGGAAGGTCCCATCTGGAACTTGTGGGCCCGTGATATCGAGTGTGGCGCCGGAACCCTTGAGAATGCGGGGAAGCCGTATCGAAGCGAGGGACGCTCCTGCTGCCTTTTGGCGAAGCGTCCGTCTGACGTGACGGCTTGATTTTGTGCCTTTGGATTTTGGCGCTAGAGCCAGCCGCTCGCCCAACGCTGCTTCAAAAACACAGCGAGATTACAGCGTCAAGTAGACTGACTCACGTGTTCGCCATGCCTTTGGCCCAGATGCAACGCCCAGCTGATGGGATCAGCACCACACCCACAACACCCACCACACCGACAACACCCACAACACCTACCACACCTACCACACCTACCACACCTACCACACCTACCACACCCACAACACCCACAACACCTACCACACCCATCGACGGCTTGCTGCATTGCGTCCCGCTGCCGGTAGCCTACCGCCGTCCTATCAGCGTGTCTCAAGTACGGCCTACGCATTCGCCGCGCAACCGACGACCCAATCACAGGCCCAAGCGTCCGCTCCAGAGAAGGGGCGGCCTCTCCAAAGCAAGCCTTTAGCTGCCGAGCATCTGCAACATTGGCGTGAACCCGGACCTAGTGGCGATCTAGAAGGAACAGGCAGGGGGAGGCGGGGTGTTTACTGTTTAGGGGCGCACTGGCCACTGGACGGGTGAGTGGTCGTGGATGGCCACTCATCATTTCACGACGGCCAGCTCGGCACCTGGCGTACGTATTTCGCCCAAGATTGCGCCGGCCTTTCTCACCTCCACCCGCCTCTTTGGGCTTGTGGATACGTCCACTGTGGGTACTCGCCCTCGAGGACAGACCCGTCTGGGGGTGCGCCCGCTATGATTTATGGGCTTCTCTTGACCCTTCCGCCGGAGCGATGTCACCGTTTCTGTGGTCCCTGGGACCTGATGCAGCTCTGGGAAGAGGGGCATCCGTCCGTAGCTAGTCAGCTCTTGTGACCTACGTATACGCACGCGCCAAGTGCGTATCGAGCCCGTCACGTCGCGTCTCCTCCTCGTCGTGCCCGCTTTGCTTCTCTCCACCACGAAAAACCCCTTGTGCTCGGGTCTTGCGGGGGAAATGCATGATCTCTTTTTAGACGACCCAAACCCCGCGAGCGCGGCACTTGGTAATACCCCTGACGAGAAGTTCCCCCTCCATCTGTGTGATATGGACATAAATACGGCCAACCGCCGATCCTCTGGCCATGCCATTGGCGTGGCTACCTAGTTCAGACGGCTCCCAACCCGTCCCTTCCTGCCTGCTGTGCCCGTTGCTGTGTCCACCCACATCATAACCGTCAGCAGCCATGGATTTCCATCTTGAGAAGGGCACCGCCCCGCCCAGGCGCGGCCGGGGGTCTGCTTTCGTTGCCATCACTGGGCTCTCCGTCTTTGCCCTTGCGGTCTTCGCCGTCTTCCAGATCGGCGGCCCCCACCTGGGACCCCTGACCAGCCATGCTGACGAGGCCAAGGACCAGAGTGCTGGGGCTAAGGAGACGTTTGAGGACCACCCTCTGTTCGAGGCCAAGGCTCGGGCCGCCCCCGCCGGCGACAAGTACCTGATCGGCGTCGGCAAGGCGGACATCACGGGCCCTGTCGTTGAGCTCAACTTCGCAGGGTATGCCGATCTGTCACAGTCCGGCACCGGCCTGCGGCAGCGCATCTACTCGCGGGCCTTCATCGTCGGCGACGTCAACAAGCCTGAGGACCGAATCGTCTATGTGGTCCAGGACACGCAGTCTGGAGACACGGGCATCCGAAAGGGTGTCCTCGAGGGCCTCGCGGCTCTGGGCCCCGAGTACGCGGTGTACACGCAGCAAAACATCGCCCTGACGGGCACTCACTCTCACAGTGGCCCCGGCGCTTGGTTCAACTACCTTCTGCCCCAGGTGACCAGCCTTGGCTTCAGCCAGCAGAGCTACCAGGCTATTGTTGACGGCACTATCCTCTCGATCAAGAGGGCGCACGAGTCCCTAACCACGGTAAGTCGGCACTAGGAAATATTTAATGAGGTCTTGGTTTGGACAAAACATTGACTCAGCCTCGCTTGTGCTTCAGGGGTACCTGGACTTTGGCACCGCCCACATCCCAGATGGCAACCTGCAGCGCAGCCTTTACGCCTACATGGCGAACCCTGCCGAGGAGAGGGCCAAGTACAGCGACACCACCGACAAGACGTTGACCCTGCTACGGTTCCAGCGCGAGTCCGATCTGAAGAATATGGGCGTCCTGACGTGGTATCCCGTCCACGGAACCTCGATGCTCCAGAACAACACGCACGTCTCTGGCGACAACAAGGGCGTCTCGGCCATCATGTTCGAGCAGGCCATGCGGGGCGATGCCGGCGCCGCCCCTGGATTCGTCGCGGGCTTTTCGCAGGCCAACGTTGGGGACACGACGCCCAACGTCCTGGGCGCCTGGTGCGACGACGGCTCCAACATGCAATGCAGTTACGAGAACAGCACGTGCGCCAACGGCAGGTCGCAAGCGTGCCATGGCCGTGGCCCCATGTTCCGGAAGCTCGACCTGGGTGTTTCCAGCTGCTACGAGATCGGCCGTCGTCAGTATGTCGGTGCCAAATCGGTTTATGTAAGCTGAGCCAGTCTTTGTTTTGCCTTGTGAGGAAAGCGATATGGCGCTGACACTATCTAGGACGCCCTCCAAACTTCGTCCTCTCCCGTCGTTGGCTCGGGCGTCAAGTCGTTCCACTTCTTCCACGACATGCGCTACTTCAAGTTTGCCCTGCCCAACGGCACCGATGTGCAAACCTGCCCCGCTGCCCTCGGATTCTCGTTTGCGGCGGGCACCTCGGACGGCCCCGGTGCTGCCGACTTCACGCAGGGTGATTCCGGTGAGCCGAGCGCCAACCCGCTCTGGCGCGTCGTCTCGGGCCTCCTACGCGTCCCCAGCAAGGAGCAGAATGCGTGCCAGTGGCCCAAGCCCATCCTCCTGGACGTGGGTGAGATGGAGGTGCCTTATGCCTGGAGCCCCAACATTGTCGACGTCCAAGTCATGCGTGTCGGGCAGTTTGTCATGATCATCGCCCCTGGCGAGGCCACCACCATGGCGGGCCGCCGCTGGCGCGACGCCGTCAAGGCGGCCTCCAAGTCCCTCACGACGGCCGAGCCCATGGTTGTCCTCGGCGGCCCCGCCAACACGTACGCCCACTACGTTGCGACGCCCGAGGAGTTTGGCATCCAGCGCTACGAGGGCGCCAGCACCCTGTTCGGCCAGCACACGCTGGACGCCTACATCAACCTGACGGTCAGCAACCTGCACTACCTGTCGTCCTCGTCGACCGGCAAGCCCGTCTCGGCCGCGTCGCCGCCCGACAACCGCAAGAACTCGCTGAGCTTCATCTCGGGCGTGGTCCAGGACAACTCCCCGATGGGCAAGCCGTTCGGCAGCTGCGTCACGCAGCCGTCGGGAGCGCAGAGGCGCGGCGACGTCGTGAGGGCCACCTTCCAGGGCGCCAACCCGCGCAACAACCTGCGCCTCGAGGGCACCTTCGTCGCGGTCGAGAGGCGCGACGAGGCGTCGGGCGAGTGGAGGCAGGTGCGCAACGACGACGACTGGTCGCTCGTCTACACGTGGCGCCGTACAAACTGGCTGCTGGGCCACTCCGAGGTCGACGTCGCCTGGGAGACCGAGTCGTCGGCCAAGCCGGGTACCTACCGCTTCAGGTATAACGGCGACTCCAAGGCTTTCTTTGGTGGCGCCATCTCGTCCTTCACCGGGACGAGCGCCGAGTTCAAGCTCGAGTAGGCCTGGGCAGCGATTCTCTTTAATGTTTTGTGCTTTTGTGTGTTATATTTCTTTGGTAGCTGCGGCACGGCTCGTGGCCCCTGCCTTAAAAAAAAAAACCCCCTTGCGGGGAATACATGATGATGTGTTACGAATCCAAATTTTAATGTCCTTCCTATATCTCTGTGCTTGCCATAGTGATCTCGTAAACGGTTGCTGCGTCAGTCCGCAGCGCAACCTGGCGGCTTACACGGCAGTACTGCGGTAATCAAGGATGGCGGCGGACCCTGACGGCATCTCGCACTTCCGGCTAAAGTAGCTGCAGAGAGGGGTGAGAGGGGGAAGCTGTGCGGGCGAAGGCGGGTGGCTGCGGAGAATTGGAGAAGGCTCCAACAACACGACTCCATGACTGGTGGGAATATCGAGAGCGGGGAGGAGGAGGTCCGTAAACGTTGCTCTCGACTGGAGCGGATCGGCAACAAAGCAAACCCTGGGTAGGGGAGGGCAACGTCGCTGCGGAAGCGTCCAATGAGGATTGTGTATGAGACCATGGAATGGTTGGATGATGCCCTGCAACCATCGAGAGGGGATGTCAAGTCCGGCCGTTATAGGTCACCTGTTGCAGGTTTGGATGAGACACAGGTGTATGCCAGTGCCAACTTCCCCCTACCCCGTGCGAGATAGCAGGCCGCTAAGCTGCATCTGGTTGAGACGAAGGACGGGTCAAAGGGGCTGTCGTATCTACCAAGTCTCCCACCCACATCTCGTTTTCCTCTCGGGAATCACCACCTTGGGGACCACCATCCGTCCCCTTTTTCAACTTTTTCTGTCCAAGACGAGCCCGCATTGACAAACCACCACAATGAAGTTCCGCGATGGCATGTGGCAGCTGAGGGATGGGGTCTCTGTCGACTATGCGGAAGAAGTCCACCAGATCAAGCAGACGGAGCGGGGCATACGGCTCCTCTGCCCGACGTGCAAGATCATGAACCGGGGCGACACGCTCAACAGGAGCATCCTGACCATAGTACGGTCTCACCTCCGGGCCATATATCAGGCGTGCAGGACTAACCTCGTACATCCCCCCTCCCCCAACAACCACAGGACATCGAGGCTGAGTTCGACGGCGTCCTGTCGGTCGAGACGACGCACTGGTCCGGCGCGGCGAACCGGGGCCCGCACTTTGAGCTGTACCCGGAAGGCAGGCCGGCCGCCGTGGAGGCACAGGTGACGCGCGGCGACAAGGGCACGACGGTCAGCTCGGGCTCGCTGTCGGCCACGGTGCACGGTGGGCCACACGCCTTCGACGTACGGTTCCACGGCACGGGCGACCACGGCGCCTCGTCGCTCCTGACGTCGCTGCTGGACCGGAGCGTGGGGCTGGCGTACACTCCGGCGCCCAACAACATGACGCAGCTCGAGGACATGACGAAATTCCAGCACCACGTCTTCACGCAGACGACGCTGTCGGTGGGCGAGTCGGTGCACGGGCTGGGCGAGCGGTTCGGGGCCTTCAACAAGGTCGGGCAGGCGGTGCGCATGTGGAACTCGGACGGCGGCACGTCGAGCGAGCTGGCGTACAAGAACGTGACCTTTTGGCTCAGCTCGCGCGGCTACGGCGTCTTTGTCGACTCGCCCGACGAGGTCGAGTTCGAGGTCGGGAGCGAGCGGTGCTGCCGCGTGCAGACGAGCGTCGAGGCCCAGCGGCTAAAGTGGTACCTAATCCGGGGGCCCACGCCAAAGGAGGTGCTGGCGCGCTACGCCGTGCTCACGGGCCGGGCGGCCTCGGTGCCCGCCTGGAGCTACGGGCTCTGGCTGAGCACGAGCTTCACGACCGACTACGACGAGGGGACGGTGCGGTCGTTCCTCGAGGGCATGCGCGAGCGCGGCGTGGCCGTCGACGTGTTCCACTACGACTGCTTCTGGATGAAGGAGTTCACGTGGACCGACTTCGTCTTCGACGCCGACAAGTTCCCGGACCCCGAGGCGTCCATCGCGCGGCTCAAGGAGTCGGGCCTGGTGCGCAAGGTCTGCGTCTGGATCAACCCCTACATCGCCGAGCACGGCGCCGCCTTCAAGGAGGCGGCCGAGAAGGGGTACCTGCTCAAGCGCAGCAACGGCGACGTGTGGCAGTGGGACCTGTGGCAGGCCGGCATGGGGCTCGTCGACTTTACCAACCCCGAGGCCTGCCGCTGGTACGCGTCGTGCCTCGACGGCCTGATAGACAAGGGCGTAGACGCGCTCAAGACGGACTTTGGCGAGCGCATCCCCTGGCGCGACGTCAAGTGGCACGACGAGTCGGTCGACCCGCGGCGCATGCACAACTACTACGCCTACCTGTACAACAAGGTCGTGTACGAGGCGCTCGAGGCGCGACGGGGCAAGGGGCAGGCCGTGCTGTTCGCGCGGTCGGCCTGCGCGGGCACGCAGCGGTTCCCGCTGACCTGGGGCGGCGACTGCGAATCGACGGCCGAGGGCATGGCCGAATCGGTGCGCGGGGGGCTGTCGCTGGGTCTGTGCGGCTACGGCTTCTGGTCCGTCGACATCGGCGGCTTCGAGGGCTCACCGCCGCCGTGGATCTACAAGCGCTGGGTGGCCTTTGGCCTGCTCTGCAGCCACAGCCGCCTGCACGGGTCCGGGTCCTATCGCGTCCCCTGGACCATCGATGCCGACGACCGCACCGCGTCGGGCGCCTCGGCCACGCTGGCGCGCTGGACCGCGCTCAAGAGCCGCCTCGTGCCCTACCTGCTGGCGCAGGCGCGCGAGGCCTCGGCCGGAGGGCTGCCGCTGTCGCTGCGGGCCGCCCTGGTCGAGTTCCCCGCCGACCCGACGGCCTGGTACCTGGACCGGCAGTTCCTGGTGGGCTCGCGCCTAATGGTGGCGCCCGTCTTCGGCGAGGACGGCGAGGTGCTCTTCTACCTGCCGCGCGGCCGCTGGACCTGCTTCTTCACGGGCCGCACGCGCGACGGGCCCGGCTGGTTCCGCGAGCGGCACGGCTTCGGCACGCTGCCGCTCTATGTGCGCCCGGGCACCGTGCTCGTCCTGGGAGAAGGAGTAGGCGGCGGCGGCGTCGTGAGGGGTGCCGTGTACGACTACGCCCAGGACGCCGAGGTGCGGCTCTACGAGGTCAAGGCTGGCGATGGCGCCGACGTCGTGGACGCGGACGGGGCGGTGATCGGGAGAGTCGTGGTCGGCGAGGATGGCAAGACGGTGACGGGGACGGAGCTCTTCAAGGGCAGCTTCATCGTCCGGGGGCCTGGCTTTGCTGACGAGACTGTTGAGTCCGCCGGGATCGAGACTCTGGAGGATCAAGTATCTTGAGCATTCTAGTCTAGGTGCTGCTTGGGCCCTTGACTGGGACGATATAGCAGCAAATTCAAGGCAATGGTTGCATCATCTTGGCCAACCAACGGCCCACGGTCCGCGGCTTTGACTCCTGGCTAGGCGTTCCGACTGGCGCCACCACATCATTGATCAGATCCATTGATTCCGCAGGAAATATGAAGTATCTGGCCCTTTCCGCGCCTCCTCTGTGCAAGTCTTGATACCGCCCGTCGCCGTCCAGATATGTGCTCGACCCGTCTAGAATCTCGTGGCTGGTCGCATGGCTGGCATGTGTTCCAGACGCTTTCCTGGATCAGATACTTTTCTTTTGGCATGGCGGGAGATAAAAAGCTTGAGGCCTGCCACACCGCCACCCCCCATCAACGTGTTTGCTGCGGCAGGGCTCGGTCCTGGGTCTGTTCCAAGCCACTGCCGCAAAGCAAATCAGCACGTTTGACGGGCGGGACACATGCAGCCCAAGAGGCAAACAGGCGGCTCAAGAGAGGGACATCAATGAAGGACAAAAAGCCAGGGGTTGGATTGAATGGTGAATGGCTCCTTCCTGGAGGCCCCTGCGCCCCGTTCGGCACGAGTGGAGATGAACCTGAAGCCCAGGGTGGTGGTCCGTCCCCGCAAACAAGGACCAACTGTGCCCAGAAAAAGGGAAGTCGCGTTGCAGAAACAGAACAAAACCGTGCAACATGGCGTCTCTACCGCACCCGGCGAGGGAAGGTGCCCACACAAGGGTGCCCACACAAGAGGATCCCCCACCCTAGCTCGTCGTTAGCTTAGGAGATCGTCACTCTATTCGTCCCTAGCGTTGGCCAGCCCGGCAGACGGCTGAGGTGTGACATGGTGTTTGCTTGTCTCCCGTCGCCTTCATTTCCCGTGGATTCCTTTCTTTGATTCTCCTGTTGGTGCCGTCTCTGTGCTGCGTCGTGCTGTGCTGTGCCTCTTCTGCAGCTGTTGGCAAGGCATTGGACCACTGGACCATTGGGCCATCACCAGCCAGCTCCAAGCTCCAAGCTCCATTCACACCCATCCCATCCCTGCCGCTACCGACCGACTGTCCATCCATCTCCTTCTGTCATTGCCATCCCTTCTTCCGGAGAAGCCGGCAACACCGTGTAGCGCGGCCGTCAAGGAAGCGCATTTCCTCCAGCCCAGCACGTTGCCTGTTCGAGAGGCGATAAAGCAGCCGTTCGACAAGGTCTGCCTGCCCAGCTCCTGGCCATCGTCCCGGCGAACCCCGCCCACCCGAGCTCTGTCGTCACTGCGCCCTCCCCCGTCATCGCGCCCGTACAAACACCCGACACACCACGGCAACCGCCTGCTACACGACAGCTCCTGAACAAAGAACTGCGGCATCATACAGAAAGCACCCTGCCGGCTGGCTGCATCCAAGGCCCGCATTCCAGCGACGCGCCTGGCCGAGCTGCCGTGACGCCGCCGTCTACATATTGCCCGTCCCTGCCGTCTGAGCCGGCCTCCCTGGTTGAGCCAACCAGCATCAGCCTGATCGGCCAGCTCCCTCCCCACACCTCGTTCCTGCGCGCCTAGTCGCGCTTTTAAAAAGAGAAATCTGAAATTCCCGTCTTCCCCTCCCCCTCTCCCTCCCCTTCCCATCACAGGGATGGGCTTCCTCCCCTCAGCCATCCGCAAGATGAGGTTCTTCCGGAGAAAAGACAAGAATAAGGAAGCTGCTTCCCCCGGCGGCGGACGCGCAGAGGACGCCCGTGCTGCCGCTCACGATGCATACGGCGGTGCCTACGGCCACGGCAACGGCTACGCCTACGGCCATGGCGGCGGTGCCGGACGCCTGTACGCGCCCAGCCCCGCGTCCAGTCGCCTTCTGGCCCACCTCCCCGACGCCATCCTCGAGCGCATCTTCACCTTTGTCTGCCCCCATTCCGCCGACAACTCGTACGAGACACACGAGCACTCGTCGCTCGTCGATGCCTGCATGCTATGCGACATGCGCGACCTCGCCCACTGCGTCGCCGTCTGTCGACAATGGAAGAAGCCGGCCCGCAAGTGTCTGTACGTCTCAATCCCCGCATGGTGCCCCCGTGTAAAACTTTCACGTTGGTTCGGTCTTGCTTACCCGTCTCATCCATATGTGCCTTGTAGATACAACAGCATCCGCATTGACGCGGTACACTTTTGCGAGCGCGAGGCGTACCTGTCCGACAAGCGCAAGCGCCGCTCGTTCTTCGACCGCAACGGCTCCCCCGAGGACCCCGCCAAGGCGCGGCTCAAGCTGCTCTGCCGTACGCTGCGCGAGGATCCCACGCGCCTGGGCGTCCTCGTCCGCTATTTCAAGACCTCATACATGCTGCGCGAGTCTTCCCAGGCCGACCTAGCCCGCACAATCGCCGTGCTACCGAACCTACTCTACGTTGATCTACCTGAGGGGCTCTTCGCCGACGAGCATGCCTACCTGACGCTGCGCCTCGAGGTCCAGGCGCGCTGCCGCAACCTGCGCAAGATGACGTACATGGCGGGCGCCGAGCGCAGCTTCGAGCTGCTTGCTTCTGGCATCTGGCCTAACCTCGAGGTCCTCGATCTCCAGCGGGTGCAGGCTGACCCCGTCACGCTGCGCCATGTGATCGGCAGTCTGCCCAACCTGCAGGCCCTCAAGGTGTCGGAAATGCCTGCCTTTGTGGATGACGTCCTCTTCCAGCATCCCCACGAGATGGTTCCGCCCTTTCCCGCCCTCGAGGAGCTCTTGATTAGGGACGCGAACGGGCTCACGGCAGAGGGACTAATTCAGTACCTCGCATCGCCAGACGCCCGCGCAAAGCTCACGACGCTGAACCTCACAAACACAGGTGTGGGTGTCTGGGATCTGCACAAGGTCCTGAGCCAGGCGACCTCGCTCACAACCCTGGTTTTTGTGGCCTCTGTGACGTCGCCACTGCCCACTGCGGCTGGCACCCACGATATTCCTCCCCTCCGCTCGAGGTCACTGTCCACTCTCAACTGGGAGATAACCGCGGCGGCATCGACCGGCATCCTGGGCCCAAGCGCGACGGCCACGTACTACAACTACCTCTCTGGATCGCTGCTCTCGGGCGGGCTCCCCGCACTGAGCGCCATCTATGTCCGCGACCAAAACTTCCCGGACTCGCTGCTCGGCACGCATCTCCCGCCCACTCCCGCGTTTGCCGGCGGCGCCTTCGCCGCCCGGCCCTCGACCTCGGGCTCAGCCTCGCCCGCCCAGACGCGGACCTTTGGGGCCGGCGGCGGATTCAACAATTTGAACATGGGCGGTGGCTCAACCGCGAGCCCGCCCACGCTCAAGCCCTTCGCTGCGGGCCACAATCCGCGCTTCAGCAGCAACAACCCGTTCGCGGCCATGATACCGATGCAACAGATCCAGACGCTCGAGGTTTTCACCAAGGGCAGCGACGAGCTGGACTGGGCCGTCGTCAAGGTTGATAGCGGATACGGCGGTGGAGGCGGTCACCGGCGTGGGGGAAGCTTCGGGTCGATTGCTCTGCCGGAGAGACCGCATAGTAGCTATGGTCTCACCCCAGAGAGCATCACGACCTGGGGCCCCAACACGACGCGAAAGAGCGTGTTCCTGGGCGATGGTGCCGGCGGATTCCTCGCGGTCCCCGACACCCCGAGCGGTGGCCAGCCGAACCCCTACATGCCGGCCGAGAGGCGAGGGAGCAGTAGTAGCGCTAGGCGCCCGAACCTTGGCTCTGGTGGCGGCGTCGGCGGCTCCGCTGTCTCGGACGAATGGCCTTTGCCGTATAGCCCTTCGGACCGGAAGAAGGACAGGAAGGACCTTTGGAGGTGATGAACTGAAGCATGGCCAACGCTTTACTCCCTCTTCATCCGGGGTTCCTTCCTGGTTTCCTCACATAATTCTGACCTTTTCTCTCCTTTCCGCTCTAATTCACATCCTCTTTGCTGTTCGCAAAGAGTCTATTGTGGCTCCCGAGCTTACAGTCATCGGGAAACATGAGAATGGTCACCCCATTCCCAAGATATTTCCTCTTATCCCAAGATATCCAGACCTTCTCCTTAATTTCTATCAATTCTTGTTTCTCTCTTCCTTCATTTCCCTACGCGCGGACGCAATGATACCGAGCGTCTATCTTTAACGGGGGCATTTAGTTTCCTTATTTGCGTTGTGCTTCATGTTTCAGAGCACTACAATAGCCTTTGGCGCTCTCCTACTGCTCTCTCACTCCACCACACCATTCCTTTGCGAGTCTTCGGGACCCTCCACAGTCTAAGTATGCGACTTGGACAAGGAGCTTGTTTGAAGATGTGGAGAACGATGAGGAGTGAAAAGCCCTACCGATGATATAATGGGCCGCAAGTGGAAAAGAGACATCTGGGGAAGGTGTGTGTATGTATGGCGTTGGTCTATGTGTCTCTGTTTGTGTATATCTGGCTGTGCAGGGCGCCCCGGGGCTGATGGGGTTGGATCTCTAATCTTTTTGAGAACCTGCTGGTTGCCGGGTAGTGTTCAGCTTTGGATGGCCTGTGAGCCACGTATCGCCACGACGGGACGGATACTCGTCTGTTGGCCATGCGTCAGCCGAGAGGGGAACGCGACTGGCCCCCAGACTGAGAAACCAGCTCATTACGGCACGGCAAGCTCGAGACGCAAGGCAGGCAGTCAGTCAGTCAGTCAGTCAGTCAGTGCCATGTCTTTGTGGGAACATGTACATATCACATCAAAAAAACTAATGCTGGCCGCACTGTGAGCCACGGCTTATACTGTGGCCACGACAAGAGGCTCAGGGATGCAGACGAAGCGCACCTCGACCGCTTCGTGTCTCTCGGCCGAGGGGGCAAGGTGGGGCTCGGTAGCGCAACAAAAATTTCTAGTAATATCCGAGAGAAGGAGACAGAAAGCCTTGTTAGATCTAGCTGAAACACAGACAGCCCGTCTCCACCCCTTGGCTGCCTTATCATATCATCCCCCACACGGCAGTTGTCGTGGCGCAAAGAGCGGACGGTTGAGTCACGGGTGCGACGTGCTATTTGATACTACGTGGGTAATAACCTCATGCACTATCACGAGGCGGCCAAGCTCAGCCGCGGCGCTGCAATGCCACCCAGTTTAGAGGGCAATGGCTGTAGAGCGTGGGGAGGCCGCAGACGCGGCTCTGGGGCGTATATGTGTCCAAGCCCAGTGTGTTCGGGGAGACGCGGTCACGCCCTCAATCCCGGCAGAGTGTGTCGCGTTCGCCCTGTTCGGTCTGCCTGTCAGCCTCGATCCCATCTCCATCTTTTCAAAAATCGCTACGCGATTTTTTCAAGTCCGACCTGGCAGGCGGCACAGCAGCCTTGATTCAAGCTGGGGTGGATGGTAAGGGTGGAAGGCAAGGTATGATTGTGAACGGACGATGGCCGGCAACTTCAACACGGGCGGCGGCGAGACCACGGAGATTGCGAACGGCAACGGCACCCCCCTCTTTATCTTCATCTTGGTGGTTGAGATGGGTGGCCCCCATTTTCTGCGGCGCGGGCAAACTCGCACACCTTCCGCCCCGCCGCGGTCCAGAGCTTCATCGGTGTTGAGGGAAGCCAAGGACTGCCGCCTGGAACACTTTCTACCTGGAGAGTCCGGGCCTCGAATTTGATGGGAAACCGGCTGTGTCTCGGCCGGAACAGGCCAGAAAACTGTTGTATAAGAATGAATGCAGCCACAGTTGCACAGCGCTCTCGGCTGGGAATTGCAGAGAGGAAGAAAGGAAGGCAAGGCAGTACACTACCAACACCACCAGAGACACGTCCATCTCAATGTACCAGGCGGATCCAGTCAGGCGTCTGTCTGTCTGTCCACTGCGCCCCGGGTCCACATGGTCGACATTCCCCACGCCGCATCATCCCCACCTGCGCCACGGATCCTCCTGCCCCCAACACCGGCGAGCGGAGAGTCGGCTGCGGCCGCGTGGACCTCACAAATGTCTCTTCGCTCAATATGGAAGGTGGCGAAAATATGCAGGTACAGCGTCGTATATGCATGTCCGGACAGCCTTGGTCGCTGCAGGAACCACGCCGCGACGGTAGAACAAGGCAATCAGGCACGCAGCAATGAAGAGAGCCCAGAACACTTGCCGAAAGCGCGTCCCGTCGCCGCGCGGGTTCTTGTACCTCCATCTCTCCCTCCGGCGGAGCCCGGCAACGAGCCCTGGGACAGATCGGGGAGTTTGTTGTTGATGTGAGCACAAGTTCCCAAGGCCCGCCGACGTTTCCCATATGGTGTTCCCGAGTCAACTGGAATGGCAGGAGAGGGACGGAGGACGGAATAAAAGGGCCGAGAAGGCAAAAACGACCATGAGAAGCAGACAGAAGAAGCATTCATCTAGATAACTGCCGGTTACACAAAGACATGGAGACATGAAATCGGACCGTGGTGGCCCCCCACTAGGTGCTATTACTCGGGAGCCACCCGGGGCAGTGGTGTAACCAAGCAAAAGAAAAAAAAGGCATCCCGGCGACAGCAACACCTTTGCCGTTTATGCATATATCGTGTTACATATACCGTGGGGGTTGGCGGCGGGCCGCGCGATGGCTGACTCAACAAGATCATGTCGGGCGCCCAGCTGCTTTTGATCCAGGCCCCCCTAGGGGAACATGTCAGGTTCGGGGCAGGCGCATGAACAGGAACCTTTGCGAGGCACTACGCCCCAAGTCATTCAGGAACGGGGCGCCAGAGTGACACGACGAGCGGTGGCAGCCCACCCTCCTCCTCCTCCTCCTCCCATTCGGGCTCGGCAGCGGCGGAGTGCGGACGAACCGGGGTAGACCGACTGGTTCGACTCGGAAAGGTACAAAGCAGGGTCGGCACATGGAAAAAAAGACGAGCTCTGTTCAGGCCGGGGCGGAGGCGGGTTGGAAAGCGATTTGCCTTGCCTTGCCTTGCCTTGCCTTGCCGTAGCCTGGCCCCCACCTCCGGTCTCGGATGTGTGCCCTGCCCGAGCCCGCGTGTTTGTCAACGGATACATGGCGTAGGACAAGCCGCCCGCCTTCATTTGCGTGAAAAGGGGGGCTTAGATGCCGGGAGTGGCTTTCGGCGGCTTCCAGAGGTGCAAACCACCACCCGTGACTGTCTCCCGAGCTGGCTTGGCAGGCGTCGTTGTTCTATGTAGAAGAGAAGTTCAAGGCAACCGAGAGGGTCCTAACGCCCCTGCGTACTGTGCGCACGCAACCCGGGTGAGGGGAAAAGTGACTTGCAGACCTTTCTCAGACCACACACACACATACACACCCCCTCTCACAACTCCCTCGAGTCGAGTCAAGGACCTACAAACTGGGGTGAGGCTCGGAACCTTGCCAAGTGAGGGGGGAGAGAGAGCTAGTTCCCATTCGCACCCCTCAGCCATCACCCAAGTGGGCAAGTAACAATCAGCCTTTTGGCCAAGAAGCTTCAGGTCAGGGACGGCCTCTGAGCCAAAAGCAGGCAGGTAAACAAGAAAAGGGAGAGGAGAAGCTCGGCGGTCGGACATTGCGCTTGCCCCCCGGAGTCCTCGAATGAGGCCGGAGGCTGAGCATCCCGTATGCGGGATTGCAGGGAGGTGATGTGCACAGGCGGGCGGGTGACTGCGAGACGCAAGACGCAAGGTCAGGGGCGGGTTTTGTTCAGACGACAAGAGTCGCATGGCCCTTGGTTGGGAGGGCAGGCAACTCAAGGCGAAGCGGGAGAGCTGCCCCGCGGGGAGGGAACGGAACTATGGACGGCAATGATGCATGAAAGAACGGGCAGCAGGATACAACCTCGAGGGAGGGGGGGCGCAGCGGGGTTTGTGTGTTGTTTCCCGGATCCCGGCCAGCAAGTGGATTTGGATGGCGTGGATGGTGTGGCAAACTCGCTCATCAGGGTCCATCCATCCACTCGCTTGTGTTGTGTTGATGCTATTACTGCCGCTATTGCTGCTTCTTTGACCATATTATTTTGGTTCAGCCCTCCTCCAGCGTCGTAGTCGGTTTCCCCCCCTCCCCACCCCCGCCCGCGCGGGAACCCCCCGGTAGCTTTTCACGTTATTTTTGATCAAGCTCAATCGGGGCGGCCCCACGAGCAGGGCACCACCCCCGCGCGGCCCGAAGCCAGGACAAATATATCTAGAAACGCGGTGGAGACGTCTTCTAGAAGGGCCGTGACAAGCACAGGAGTCATGACGGGGGGGAAGGAGCCAGAGGAACCGGACAGACAGGTCCATTTTTGTCGACGACGTTGAGAGGAGAGAGCCCTTGAGATTCCTGCTGCTGCTGGGAGGATGCCAGAAGCGACGTCTTTCGTCCAGTCTTGGGGGGGCCTGAAAATAGTCGTGTCCGCAGCCGAGCGCTCGCCGTTTCACATGCCATCTTCGGAGCGCGACGCTGGGAGCTTACAAAAGTACGGGCGTGCAAGCCGACGCTTCCATGTTGCAGCTATCAACTGCTATCTACAGCATGTGGAACCGTTTTGGGTCGGGCACAACCGGACAAGACGGTCGGAATCCCCCAAGCAAAAGAAACAAGAACAAAAAGCCCCATGACAAGATGGAAACATGCGCCACTCGGCGCGCAGGAAGCGCTTGCGCTGTCAGTCAGTCAGTCAATCGTGTCACTTGCGCCGACCTCGTTGGAATCCTTCACCACGGTGTTTGGAAGGAGAGGCGGTCAGCGGTCAGCTAAGGTGCTGACTGACAGGAGCGACGGCATCTGAGAGGCTGAAGAATGAGAAGCAGAAAAAGCCTCGCCGTTGGTGTTGTTTGCTGTGTTTTCATTTTGTTCTCAGCGGCTGGTCCCTTGGGCAATTTTTAGCACCGGTGATCTTTCCCGCTAGCCCCCCAATGCAGTATGGCGCAATCCCGAAATCCTGGTGGGCCCCGATTTTCGCTCCCGTTGGATCCACACCTGTCGGCAAGACTGGAGCCAGCGAGGCAACAGCTGCTCGATGAAGTAACCCGACCATCACAGCAGAGGAGAACCGCGGGGCAGTGCCAAAGGGAGAAGAAGAAGAAGAGGTGAGGCGACGTTGGTCCAGCGAGTACATAAACACAATTGTGGTCGGTTAGGCAGGTAGAGGTAAATCTGCTGCGGTCTGCACACGTGGTTACCTTTTTTTTTCTTTCTCTCCAGCCTTCGGGTTCGGCTCAGCCAGGATTCGGTCACCAGGAAAATCCAGCTGAGGCCGAGAGGGTGGCCGTGATGACGCCATGTGCCCTTCCCCGTCGCCAGCTCTTCTTCCCTTCCTCTCGAGTCACCACCAAAATCTCACATGAGCCTACAAAGTAGCGTCGGATACCACCGCAGCCCGCGCACACTGTGGCTGCGGGCATGCACAATCCAGGATCGAGGAAAGGGATCAAGCCAAAGAAACCCGGATTGCGCTCTACCACGTAGCTCGTCTAGCCTCGCAAGTTTCTGCGCGCCAGTAGCCAAAAACTGCAGGTTACGGCGGCCCAAGGAAACTTGGCTGCCGGGTCCTTTTCTTTTCGCCTGTTCGGCTCCCTCCCCCTGATATCGTCCCGCCCGTGGGCAAGCGAGGCACGGTCTCCCGAAAAAAGTCTGGACCGCAATTTTTTTCCCCACCCAAACTCAACCTCTCCCAGCACCAGCACCAAAGCCAAACAACATGCCCGCGCACCACTCTACACCT